AGAAATTTTTTTAAATAAGGAATTAGGGGTAATTCTGTCAACAAACTGATTCGATAACAAAGTTCATTGGAAAAAGAGCACCCAAGGAACCTGTATCCCACAGGGCACATTTTTTGGAACATGAACTTATTCACACTGTTGGTATTTGAAATTGGGTGTGTTACACCTTGGAGCTTCCTTCTTCCCTATAGGGAAAGTTGGAACTGGCTATGGCTTTCTGCACTTACTGCCTGTTTCTGACATTTGCCAAATGAATATGCCCTGGCCTTCAACTCATTTGGGTCATTTCTTTATCTTCTGTCCCTGAGCCTTATTAACAGATTGCATTGTGGTCTCAATCCTGGTAAGTTTTGTGTATCTTATTAATATTTACATTGCTCTACCCTTACAGAACACAAATGTCCCCTCCATTATTTGTGTGTGTATTATGGTACTAGTTCTTCATTCAAGAGAAACCACCAAAGGCATGGGAAACAACAACAACAACATCTCTTATTCACCTAGTTAGATGTTAGTGTACTAAAACACATGGGATTACATTATAAAAGCATTCATATCATGTTAAGTCAACTTGATACACTTAGTACTCTGGACTCTGATAGAAAAAGAAAACAGCTTAAGAAAAGGTGGTTAGATTTAATGTTAAGAAAAGTTATTACTATAGGCCTTATTCAAATTAATGCATATACAAGAGAAGATCAATTTCCATACAGTTGACAAAGCAGGTAAGTATTTCTTGGCAGATTGAAACACCACCACAATAGGCACATAACAAACATGATTTCATGACTTCTAACTTATCTGGCTCCTTAGTCTTAAAATTGTGTAGTTGCTGATATTAAGATAAATTTAAATATTTGTTATCACAAAAATTGACAACTGTGGGAAATTCTTGATATTGTTTTCCTTTTTTTTAGATCCATTCAGTTTTATAAATTGTTACTTTGACGTTGTGTGGGTGCTTGCACAATCCTCCTACCTCATTTGTAGAGAAAACTTCATCTGTTCAGAGATGACTGTTTCTTTCGGTCTTGTGTGACTTTCCTAGTAGAAAACATGCCTCTATCCTATACATGCAATCTAGCTATTAATCTAATCTCACTCAAGGAAATGTAAATCCATTCAAATGGTGAAAAATGATTGCATCAATGTCTTAGGTTTCCATTGCTGTGAAGACACATCATAACCATGGCAACTCATAAAAGAAAACATTTAATTGAGTGGCTTACAATTTAGAGATTTAGTCCATTATCTTCATGGCAGGGGGCATGCAGACAGACGGTGCTGGAAAAGTTCTACCTCTCGATCCACAAGCAACAAGAAGTGAACTGCATCACTGAGTATAGCTTGAGCATAGGAGACCTTAAAGTCCATCCCCACAGTGACACTTCCTCCAACAAGGTCACAACTACTCCAATAAGGTCACACTTCCTAAAAGTGCCACTCCTTTTGGGTTCCTTTTTCCTTCAAATCACCACAATCAAGTTTGCTGGTTTTTGCCATCCTCAAAAGTATCATGCAGTTTTATGGGTCTTAAAAGGAAATTTTGAATATATATGATTCTATTCTTTTAATGATAAATTTAGAACTTTCCCTCCTACATTAGATGAAACTCTGCTTCAAGATGACGGGAAGTACTGAGGGCCACACAGCCATCAGTGTGCTTTTTTTCTTTTCTCTGTAACAAAACATTATTTTATTCAGGTAGTAATCTTTCTCATGGCTAACAGGACTGTGATACCAGCTCTAGGAATATATTTGATTTAGACATATGATACTCTCCACACTTCAGACTGATACTTTTATCTGTGTCACAACTGGCTTGTTTGGAATTGGTCCAGGTGGCAATTCTGGTCTGCTATGCAAATATAAGAATGGGTATATTAAAGAAGTGTTGAATAGATTCTCTGGAAGGAGCAGAGTCCATGGAGATTCTTCTTAAGTGTATTGCTATGCTTCTAATGTACAAAGCCCTAGCTTTGAGCCTTGGGACTTGGAAATAAAAGGAATGGATATGAGATATTAAGGAGACTGTGTAGTTCACATAAATGGGGTTTGTTCAGTTTTGGAGTCTGAGAAATCCATGATTCAGTTATTGGTTGATTTGCTTCCTGGTGAGGGCTTGCTTCCTGATCTGCAGGTGCCTGTTATCTTGCTGTATCTCTGCCATAGATTTTCCCTTGTTATATCAAAGGAGCAATAGTGAGAAGGGAAGCTTTTCTGTTTTGCTCTCTTAAGACCATTATCCTATTGGGCTAGGATGTCTCACCCTTAGGACTCCATGCAATCATTATTACCTGAACTGAATCTCCAAATATAATCTCATTGGGATTAGGGCTTTATGATGGTTAATATTGATTGTTAATTTCATTGTAATGAGAACTGACTAGGAGATTAGTGTAGAACACCTGTGAGAGTGTCTATGAGAATGCTTCTGGAGATGAATTACTGAGCAGCAGAGACATAAGGGGCCAGAGAGCCAGAAGTAAAAGAGGAAGGATGAAGAAGCCAGCCAATGCTGGCATTCCTTACTTCAGCATCTTACTCTTATGAGGTGGATAATTTTGCTCTGTCATATACTCTCTTTTAAGAACTATGATACAAAGTAACAGGTATCAGTACGACATCTTCACACATATTTTGTTTTGCTTGATTCCCTGTCCCTTCTAGATCCTTTCCCCTGTCTCTTTTTTATTCACTTGTACCATCCTGTCCCTGGTAGTTTCCCTTTCATGTCTCAGATGATGTATGACTCTCGATGCCTCCTCCTTAAATCCTGTTTTCTCTGTCTCATGGTTCCCTTTTCATTTTCATGTCTTATACTCACAATCACTTCTACAAAAATGTATACATATAAAAATTGGAATGTAGCCTGGGTGTGGTGACATAGTCTTTAATTCCAGTAATTAGGAGGGAGAGGAGGGTAGTATCTATGGAGTTACAGGTTAGCTTGGTCTACAAAGTGAATTCTAGGACATCCAGGGATATACTTTGAGACTTTGAGACTCTGTCTCTAAACACACACACACACAAACACACACACACACCAGCTAGGATTGGCACATCAGAAAGAACATATACTATGATGTTCTCCTCACTTCATGCCCAGAGCCCAGAGCAGTGGTACATGAAAACCATGAACCGACCTTAAGAGCCACCAACCAAAGTCAAGCTTCCTTTCTTTTAAGTTACTCACTCAGGTATCTGTCATGGTGATAAAAATACTCAGCAGCATATGTTTCACTCTATGGATTTCTTTCTTTTGTTTTTTGCTAGGGTTGGATCTATGCCTTTGTGTATATTAGAAAAATGTTCTACCACTGAGAGACACCATATGTCTCCAACAGATCAATCTAGGAAATGCATCATTTGTCCTCAGTAGATCATACAAATGATCTTACGTCGCTTAAACATGTTTGTTTTTGTTAAATACAGCTGAATATATAGCCTCATAGATATCCTATTTTATGAAGTAACACACAAAAGATAATGTCTAATTCATGGTATAGAACTTGAGAAGATTAGAGATTATTTTCCTTTTATCAGAACAAACAGGTGCAGAGTTGAAATCACTACATTTCACAGCTAATGTCCATTGCTGTTACAGAGCATTTCATAGCTGCTGATCATATATAGATGTGGTATCATGTTAATATAAGCAGCACAGCCCTTGGGGAGTTTTAAGTTGTAAATGAAATATTTTTCTAAGATTGTGTTCTCTCACAGAGAAAGCACACTCCAGCTGAGGCCTATCATAAACTTCTGGCATGCGAAGAGACACTAGCTGGTGATTCCATCAGGCAAGACTTCCAACTAATGGGTTGACAAAAGCATTGCTGTACAGTGAAGAGCTGTTACAAACTCAATCACAATTCATTTTGTGAGTTTTGTCATCCTAGATCATTACAGTTAATTTATGAAAAGCATTACTTTAGACATCACCAGAATCCTATGGATATACATACCCACACTTTTCTTTTCTGAAATCAGTTACCTTTTTCTTGTGAGTCAATCTTCCTTCCTTCCTTCCTTCCTTCCTTCCTTCCTCCCTCCCTCCCTCCCTCCCTTCCTTCCTTCCTTCCTCCCTTCCTCCCTCCCTCCCTCCTTTCCTTTTGTGTGTGTGTGTGTTTCCCGTCTTACTCTTCAGCTCTGGTGACCCAGAACTTGCTATAGAGACCAGGTAGACCTGAAACTCTCAGAGATCTATCTGACTATGCCTCTACAACACATGGTCTTGCAAATTAAATTGAAGTTTTAGAACTATCTTTAAATTTGTGGTGTTTACTGTGTCCTAGGAAGGTTCTCATGAAACATTTCCTGGGCACTTTAGGTGTATTGCATGTAAACCAATTTTACTTCATTTAAAAAAGATGAAAAGTACATAGACATCAAAATATTATAAAGTGATGGGTTTCATAGCATGGTAAAATTTACCTTTAATCTAGCTGGGGATGCAGAAGGTTATCAATTACCAAATTAAAAAAGCCTAAACCAGCCAGGCGGTGGTGGCGCACACCTTTAATCCCAGCACTCGGGAGGCAGAGGCAGGCGGATCTCTGTGAGTTCGAGGCCGGGCTGGACCGACAGCCTCCAAAACAATACAGAGAAACCCTGTCTCGTAAAAAACCAAAAAAATAAAAAAATAAAAAAAGCCTAAACCAAATAATCCAATGGTATCTCACCAAGAAATAGACAATGAACAAAACATTTGCATATACACAGATCCAAATTAAAGCAACAGAACCCAGGCCAGTTTACACTCTTAAACCTTCTGACACTATTTTTATGAACTCAGTAAAACAAATCACATGGTGAAATATCTTCTGAAAAACTTTCCTGTGTATTTCATGACTGAGCAAATGTGACATTAAGTTTTATCCCCTGTGGCTTGGAGTTAAACACTTTCTCTGTTCAGAATGGCAACACTCAATTAAACAACATTTTTTTGCAACCTACCCCCACCTATTACTGTGTTTAAGGGAAATAAGGGGAGTACTGACCTATATTGCGCTTCTTATTATCAATGGAGATGAAGCGTATGCAGGGATTACTGGTGATGTATTGGGCAGCCCAAGGGACATCAATCTTCATGCCTGCTTCATAAAAGAGGCCCAGAGCATAACGAGAGGAGTAGCTCACAGATGCTAGTTGCTGCTTTTGGCATTCACTAATCACTGTGGAAGAAAAAACAAAACAAACTCAAAAATATCATCTTTTCCTCTAGCCATCAAATCCAAAGCTCCCTTAAACACATCCCAAGTGTCTCCAGCAGTCCTGTCTTACCATGAATTCTGAAAGGTAATGTCAAATGCCCTTTGTTCTGGTTTTATTTCTTTCTTTCAGAATGTTTACTAATGCTAGCACAATTGCATTTAGTAAGATGAAGTTTCAAGTTCATTAGACTTCCAATCAAGTCTCTCAAAATCTGTCAGTCAATTGCTGCTCCAGCTTCATATACTATTTGCTGGCCATGGACTGTCTGGCAACATTACTGATTTTATATACCTGTCACTTAACTATGAGTTGATGTTTTTGATAATTATTATCACAACATTTCACATAATTATAACCATAGTATCATAAGGTTGAATACTATTTCCTTGTTATGTGTAAGGAAATTGATTCTTCACCACGCACGGCCCCTTCATTATGTCTATGCAATTTAATTTGCTTTTTGGTCACCTTCCCATTATTGCACTGCAATCGTTTTTTTAGACAGATGACCACACCCCAGTCATCAGTGTGATGAGATACTTCCCTGATACACATCTTCAGGAGGGCCAAGTAAGGGCTAAGGAAGACAGTATAGAATACTTGGAAATGTCTCATGCACTGAGAAATAGCCTGATCTAGAAGAGAAGACTTCAACTTCAAGGATCTTGGTTAGAACTTGGAGAAATAGCTTTAGGAGTACAAAGAGGAGGAAAGAGTGTTCAATAAATTATTTAAACACAGAAATAATCCCACACATTAGTTAAAACTATAAATATTGTCAGAGTAATAGTTGACATACATTTTTAGAACTGTGAGGTTTAATTTTATTAAAGTCTTGCATGTTACATATTATATATATTATTTAAATTAGAAACAATCTTATTTTACATATCAATCCCAGTTCCCTCTCCATCCCATCCTTCCATACCTCCCAAAGACCCCCCTTTCCCATCCCCCATCCACTCCCCAGGGAGGGTGAGGACTTCCATGAAGAATCACTAAAATCTGTCAAGTCATTTGGGGCAGGGCCTAGGACCTCCCCTTTGTATCTAGGTTAAGAGAGTATCCCTCCATGAGAAATGGGCTTCCGGAGTCTGTTCCTGAACTAGGGATACATCCTGGTTCCACTGCCAGAGGCCCCATAGTCTGCCCAGTGTTCCTAACTGGCACCCATGTTCAGGGGGCCTTGTTTGGTCCTATGCTAGTTCACCAGCTGTCAGACTGGAGGTCAGGTGTTTCTGTGGGATTTCCCAGTGTGGTCTTGACCCCTTTGTTCGGCACTCCTCCATCTCTGAAACTGGATTCCAGGAGTTTGGCTCAGTGCTTGGCTTTGGATCTCTGCTTCTGCTTCCATCAGCTACTGGATGAAGGCTCTAGTATGAAATTTAAGGTAGTGATCATTCTCATTATAGGGGAAGGGCATTTAAGGTAGCCTCTCCACTATTGCTTAGGGTCCTAGTTGTGGGTGATCATTTTGGATCTCTATATAATTCCCTGGTGCCAGATTTCTCTTCAAATCAATAGTGGCTCCCTCTATTGATGTGTCTGTTTTCTTGGTATCTTCTATTCCTCTACCCATTCAAACTTCCTGATCATTCATGTTTTCCCCCTATCCCTCCTCTTCTCACCTCCTCTTTCTCCTGTTTCCCTCTTCCCTTTCCCAGTACTCCCCATTTGTTCAGGAGCTCTTGTCCCTTTCTGCTTCACTGAGAAACCGTGTATGTCTCTCTTATAGTCTTCCTTGTTTCATAACTTATCTGGAGGTGTGGATTGTAGACTGGTAATCCTTTTCATTATGTCTAGAATCCATATATGAATGTGTACATATCATGCTTGACTTTCTGTGACTGAGGATGGTTTCTTCTAGTTCCATCCATTTGCCTGCAAATTTCAAGATTCCATTGAGTAGTACTCCATTGTGTAAATGTACCATATTTTCTGAATTCATTCTTTGGCTGAGGGGCATCTAGATTACTTCCAAGTTCTGGCTACTACAAATAATGCTGCTATGAACATAGCTGAACAGATGTCCATGTTTCATAAATGTGCATTTTTGGGGTATATGCCTAAGAGTGGAATTGCTAGATCTTCAGGTAGACTGGTTCGCATACTGATTTCCAAAGTGGCTGTACAAGTTGCACTCCCACCAGCAATGGAGAAGCGTTCTCCTTTCTCCATATCCTCTCCAGCATAAACTGTCGTTGCTGTTTTTGATTTTAGCCATTTTGACAGGTGTAAGATGATATCGCAGAGTTGTTCTGATTTGCATTTCCCTGATGGCTAAGGATGGTGAGCACTTTCTTATGTGTCTTTGAGCCATTTTAGGTTCCTCTATTGAGAATTCTCTGTTTATTCTATACCCCACTTTTTAGATGAGCTATTTGGTATTTTGGTGACTAGATTCTTGAGTTCTTTGTATATTTTGGAAACCAGCCCTCTGTCTGATGTGGGGTTGGTGAAGATCTTTTCCCATTCTGTGGGCTGCCTTTTAGTCCTGTTGACTGTGTCCTTTGCCTTACAGAAGCTTCTCAGTTTCAGGAGGTCCCATTTATTAATTGTCAATCTCAGTGTCTGTGCTGCTGGTGTTATGTTCAGGAAGTGATCTCCTGTGCCAATTCGTTCAAGGGTACCTTCCACTTTCTCTTCTAAGAGGTTCAGTGTGGCTGGATTTATGTTGAGTTCTTTAATCCATTTGGACTTAAGTTTTGTGCATGATGATAGGTATGGATCTATCTGCGATCATCTACATGACCACATCCAGTTCCAGCACATTTGTTAAAGATGCTTTCTTTTTTCCATTATATAGTTTTAGCTTCTTTGTCAAAGATTAAGTGTTCATAGGTGTGTGGGTTAATATCAGGGTCTTCAATTTGATTCCATTGATCTACCTGTCTATTTTTGGGCCAGTACCAAGCGGTTTTCATTACTATAGCTCTATAGTGGAGCTTGAAGTCAGGGATGGCAATGCCTCCTGAAGTTCCTTTATTGTACAGGGTTGTTTTGGCTATCCTGGGTCTTTTGTTTTTCCATATAAAGTTGAAAATTGTCCTTCCATGTTCTGTGAAAAAATTTCTGGGATTTTGATAGGAATACCATTGAATCTGTAGATTGCTTTTGGTAAGATTGTCATTTTTACTATGTTGATCCTACCTGTACAAGAGCATGGGAGACCTTACCATTTTCTGGTATCTTCTTTAATTTCTTTCTTTAATGACTCAAAGTTCTTGTCATACAGGTCTTTCACCTGTTTGGTTCGAGTTACCCCAAGATATTTTATGTTGTTTGTGGTTATTGTAAAGGGTGATGTTTCTCTGATTTCTTTCTCAGTCCCTTTATTGTCTATATATAGTAGGGTTACTGACTTTTTTTGAGTTAATATTGTATCTTATTACTTAGCTGAAGGTGTTTATTAGCTGTAAGAGTTCCCTGGTAGAGTTTTTTTGGATCACTTATCTAAACTATCATATCATCTGCAAATAGTGAAAGTTTTACTTCTTCCTTTCCAATTTGTATCCCCTTGATCTTCTTATTGAAGAAATATGGAGAGAGTGAACAATCTTGTCTTGTTCCCGATTTTAGAGGAATCGCCTTGAGTTTCTCTCTATTTAGTTTGATGTTGGCTGTTGGTTTGCTATATATTGCCTTTATTATGCTTCAGTATGTTCCTGTTACTCCTGATCTTTCCAAGACCTTTATTTATGAAGTGGTATTGCATTTTCATCAAAGGCTTTTTCAGCATCTAGCGAAAGATAATGTGTTTTTTCTTTTTCAGATTGTTTATATGGTGGATTACATTGATGGATTTTCGCATGTTGAACCATCCCTGCATACCTGGGATAAAGCATACTTGAACATGGTGGATGATTTTTCTGATGTGTTCTTGGATTCAATTTGCCAGTATTTTTGGTTACTTTTGCATAAATGTTCATGAGGGTTGGTCTGAATTTCTCTTTCTTAGTTTTGTCTTTGTGTGGTTTGGGTACCAATGTAATTGTAGCCTCGCAAAAAGAGTTTAGCAATGATTCTTCTGCTTCTATTGTGTGGAACAATTTGAAGAGTATTGGTATTATCTCTTCTTTGAATTTCTGGTAGAATTCTGCACTGAAACCCTCTGGCCCTGGACTTTTTTTGGTTGGAAGACTTTAGATGACTACTTCTATTTCATTATGGGTTATAGGTCTATTTAAATTGCTTGTCTGTTCTTGATTCAATTTTGGTAAATGGTATCTATCCAGACAATCGTCAATTTCCTTTAAAATTTCCAATTTTGTGGAGTACAGGTTTTCAAAGTATGACCTGATGATTCTCTGGATTTCCCCAGTGTCTGCTGTTATGTCCCCCTTTTTCTATTTTTAATTTTGTTAATTTGCATGTTCTCTCTTTGAATAAAGGTTTGTCTATCTTGTTGATCTTCTCAAAAAACCAACTCTTTGTTTCATTGATTCTTTGTATTTTTTCCTTTGTTTTGACTTCATTGATTTCAGCTTTCAATTTGATTATTTCCAGGTGTCTGCTCCTCCAGGATGAATTCACTTCTTTTTGTTATAGAGCTTTCAGTTGTTCTGTTAATTCTCTAGTGTGACCATTCTCCAGGTTCTTCATGTGGGCACTTAGTGCTGTGAACTTCCCTCTTAGCACTGCTTTCAGAATTTCCCATAGGTTTGGGTATGTTGTGCCTCCATTTTAATCCAATTCTCGGAAGTCTTTGATTTCCTTATTTCTTCCTTTACCTAGGAATGATGCAGTTGAGCATTGTTCAATTTCTATAATTTTTCTGTAATTTTTGTTTTTGTTGAATTCTTTTTAAGTCAAGGTGGTCTGATAAGATACAGGGGGTTATTCCAATTGTTTTGTATCTGTTGAGGTTTGCTTTATTGCTGAGTAAGTGGTCAATTTTACAGAAGGCTCCATGTGGTGCTGAGAAGAAAGTGTATTCTTTTGTGTTTGGATGGAATGTTCT